GCTGATTACGAATATGAACACGGGGGTAGCCCTTAGCCGTTCGAAGACCTGATTTTCTAGAAAACCATTTTTTCAGAAACTCTGAAATATAACCCGAACCTTTTTTAATGAGGCGTGATTGTAGTCCGCAGATTTATGATTAAAATGAGACATCTCCCAGCTTTATGCGACCTTTCTTTGCAAAATTATAGAATTTACAAGAAAAGCCCTAAATAATGTCTTTTTATTTCTGTAGCTTTGAGCTGACAATGAACATTTAGGGCTTTTCTTGTAAATTCCATAACTGTGCAAAGAAAGGTCGCATAAAGCTGGGAGATGTCTCATTTCAATCAGAAATGTGCGGGCTGCAATCATGCCTCATTAAGAATGGCTCGGGTTATATTTTAGAGTTTCTGAAAAACTGGTTTTCTAGAAAACCAGGTCTTCGAAAAACTAAGACAATACCATGTTCATATTCGTAATCAGCATGGTCGATAACCTATAACCCACTAGATTTCGAGTAAAAAGCCTTTAATCACCTCGAAAGGTTCCCTCGTTAGACGAAAGCCATAAATGGTTTATTTTCTGTAACTTCAAAAAAAGAATTGTTAAAAATTCGATTTACTTATGAATGTAAAGGTGCACAAACTCGCAGATTCTTTTGTCCTAAACTTTTCTAAAGGGTTTACGAGAACGTCACCAGGCGGAATGAATAAGGGTTCAGGAAAGCTCAAAGACTCTTTCCAAGGTTCTTTTTCGAAATCAAAAAGCGTCTTTCCGCATAGTGACATTCTTGTAAACCTTTTTAGTTTTTTAAAGTACGCTTTAAACTACGCTAAGAACCGTTAAGTCGTGTAACGTTCTTGAGTAAGTTAATTATGTCTTAGTGTGTCAGATCACCCGTTCGACAGCATATTCATTGCGTTGTGTCCATAATACATTCCCTATAATTAGTGTTTGTGGTCTTCTAGAAAGTTAATACGTGACTAGTGAGTGCGTATGGGATGCTGAAGAAATTGGGCGAAAGAACTCTGTCTTCGAGCCTGATCTACAGTTGATGAATAGTAACGATATGGATGACTGTGTCAGAAACTTGTCAGATGTAGGGGAGATATCTGGCTACTGAAATTGATATTTGTTAGTAACGGTGGCCATATCCATATACTAACTAAAATTTAAATTTGAGTGAAAATTCCAAATCAGAATAAAATATAAAATTCTGACCAAGAAAAGTTGAAAAATTAATCAGTTAAAAAATCAGAATACTGAGAAAACATAGATTTTCAATAAAAACATAATTTTCAGAAAAATTTATAGTTTTGGATTAGAGATGCACCGGTTATTATTTTTTTTTGTGGCATCAAAGAAAATTACTATAATGCAGTTGTTAAAATTCGTCTAGATTAGAGCAACATTTGTTCTATGTATTTGTACGAAATAGAAAAGTTAATGAGTAAAATAAGATGAGTAAAAAATAAAGTTATCATGTACAGTTATAACATTTTTGAATGTATATCCTTTGGTTATAATTAACAAATACATAGAACAAACGTTTGTTTACAAAAATGAGAGATATGCCGCAAGTTAGTCAATAACTGTTTTATGACAATTTTCATGAATATGCAGTCTTCTAATGGGCCACTTTTGGAAGAAATTGTTGTTGTTAATTAGGAAGTCTTAATTAACATCAGAGGGCGACAAGTCAAGTGAGAGTGAGGGCGAAAAATAATGATTTCAATGAGGAAGTAGCCTGTATGTCTATTTTAAACATCTAAACGATAATATGATAGATGAGAGTGAGTCATCATCACTGTAATAACGACACACTCTCATCGATTGAGTATAATTCGACTATTTCAAAACTCATCTGAAAATTCATGGTTTATTACAATATTCTAATTCTGATTAATTTCAGTTTTGCCTATAACATATACGTTATGTACTCTCTTTTCTTTGACATTTACATTTATTCTATAATCTCAAAATCGAAACTAAGTCGAATTTTATTTATTGAGCAATAGTATCTCTTAATAGTCTGTAAAAACGTTGATACTAATAATAAAAAGAAACTAACCAAAATATTAATATCTATATAATTCTTTTCTCATTGGTGTTACATACACATTAAACCGGACAATTTGTATGATTTCTTGCTCTAATTGAATATATTCAAACTTTTTTTTTATGAGAAGAAATTAGTTCTCTAATATAGTTTTGATGAAACTTTTAAGAAATAAAAATCTTGAATAATAAAAAATGTACTTAATAAGATGATCAAAAGTTTATGAAATATGTTAAAAAAACTAAAATAATTTCAAATTACGTGTTTCGGGGTATGTACCCGTATATAACGCAGACTTTCGCTCACACACTAAACTCTTTTTCTCTCTGTATCTTTTTTTCTTTTTGTTTTTTTTTTCATTAATTGTTATATAAACTGTGCATGATTTATCCATCGTCGGTATATTGAGATAAAAAAGAAAAAAAAAACCAAAATCAGATCGCAAATATAAATATATTCTCGTATTACGAAAAAGAAAAAAAAAAAAAACTCAAACAACATGATGTACAAACATCGTTTAGGCTTATTGAGACACTATATACCAATTGAATAACAGCAATGTTATAATAATAAACTATCTGCTAACTAACTGAAACAGAAACAATGTGTCATTCTATGTATTTTTTTGTCGTTCTTTATTGTCACAAAGGCCGAGTAGTTTATTAAAGACGGTACTTATCTATATAGTGAAAAAACCATCTTGAAAAGATTATTCTAATATGGAATAGACCATACATACAAATAGAAAATAACAAAAACAAAAAATATATCAAAAAAAATAAAAAAACTTTATTATTTGGTCTTTTTTCTTCTTTGTTTTTCTTTTATATTTTCTATCAAACGTTTAGTTTTTGATCAGTTATTATTAATAAGAACTATTTATCTGGTATCCAAATGAAACTTTTAGAAAAACTAATTCGTCAAACATTCGAATAAATAAAACAAAAAAACCAAGCACAAAAAAAACCAACAACAACTAATCATAATCACATACTTTTCTAACATCATATTTCAATGTTTATCACCTCTAGGGATTTTCATCTAATCCATGCATTGAGATTAACTTTATTCTTGAATAAAACCTGTCAATACGTGTGGGTGTATACATATAATATTCCATTTTAGACTTGTTTATAATCTTTCAAAGTAGAAAGATGTTAAATTTTAGCTTTCAATATTTTACATCTATATTAAAAATCTTGTATTAAAAAAAAAAGAAGAAAAGAATTTTGTCTTATCAATGAATAAAACACTCTATTTTACTTTTTTTTTTAACAATTTTTTTATATATCTTCTCATTTATTTGTCGATTATATGTCAATCATAATAGACAGTCAATCTTTTAGAACGTCTTAATCATAATTTCAATAGTGAGATTAAAATAGTAACAATATTGAAAAAAAGATGTTTCAATGAATATCGTAGGAAAAAAGAAAGTAGTATCAGTAAATTTATTAGAGTGGTTAATCAGTTTTTTTGATAATTAGACATGATGATGGATAATTGACCTTCACAAATAAAAATGTCATACGTCTTTTTTAATTTAATTCATCAGTTGTATTCAACATGCAACATTTAACACACACACAGACATTCGTCTAAAACTGTAAACTATATACCTTATTTATTGTCATATACCGTATGGTATATATGATAAATAGAATTACGAACAACAAACGAGAAAACCAAAACAACTAATATCTATAGATATATCTATAGAGAAACAGATATAAATATGCATACAATTCGTCGTTATGATATTGTGTTTTCTTTCTTTTTTTTCTTTTTTTTTTTTTTTTTCTGCTAACGTAATAAGAAATAAAACTTATACATAATATTCTGATGAAAAATAACTGGATTTCTATGAAAAATGCGACAAATTGGATCTATCAATATGAATCCCTTGATTATACATAACTAACACGTAGAGTTAATAAACAATCATTTACACATGATTTGGTAGAATTTTCTATAATAAACATTTACCGCATTTTAAATTATTCAATGCCAATAAATAATTATCGTTCTAATTAAATCATTTTGATGTTGTCAATGTTCCGTTTTTTTTTGTTTTTTTTTTATTGTAACTGATTAATAAAGTCATCTTTACGTTTTCATGGGGGAACACAAAAAAAATGGAGAAGAGAAAAACAATAAAAAAAAATAATAACTCCTCAAAAAAAAAAAAAAGATCTATTAGTACATGATGCCAAACGAAGTAAAAAAAAATAATAAGAGCATAATGTTGAGTACACATAAGGGACCATCTTTCATGAATTAATTTCCACTTTGTATATCATATACCTACGTTTATTATATGTTATTATTGTAATTTAGTAGGCATCCAAATGGTGACAAATTAAATTCTTTTCTATCATGAAACTAATATAAAACATGATGAAAGATTTTTTGAATTGTTTCTATTTAGATTTAGTCGAGATGTTTCTGTTTTGATTTTTAACATAAAATAGACAAAATAGAGTCTAGACCAATTAATTCATACAACAGTAGCTTCTAAAAATATGATTTGAGTAATTCAATTAAGAAAAGTGGAATTAGACACATAAAGATACAAAAAATATCCAAACTGTTACATTTTCACTAACAATGAGCAATGATCTTGCGTAACATTATAGTAAATGTTACTGTGTTCAATTGATAATAATAATAAAAAAAAAAGAAAATGTTGAAATGATCAATCGTCACTATCATTACTAAAATTTTTCATAATATCTTATCTCATTTGTCATCTATCCTCATTATTTTTTTCGTAAAAATTTTTTTATCTCTTCCTCACGTTTAACGGATTTGTCTCATAGATATTGGTAAATATGTTAAACATTTCGTTTTGAAAAGGGCAACACTAAACGAGAATAACTAACTATTTACATCTGTGTCATTTGTGTGTGTATGTATGTTAAGACAAATGTGCAAGTCAATCGTTCAACATTGTTGGTCAATGTCTGTGACTAAAATAAAGTAATATGTTCCGTCTCTTTGTCTCTCTTTCTCTCTTTCTCTTTATAAGTACAATACAAACACGACATCGAAACAAACAGCGATTATGTTACATAGTTGAGTCAAGTGTTCATTTCATAAACATCACAATGAATAACAGATATTATATCTTCTTTTATCTTCTGCTAGTTTTAAGTATTGTACAAGCTAGACTTGGTAAGTATTTCTTTAAATAAGAAAACACCGGATGAAAATTTGTCATATTCTAGGTCATTCAATGCAGAGTCATTGTTTAGACGAACTGAAGGGCACATTATCACTTGGATGTCCTCATAATCAATTGATTAAACTTGGAAAAGTATTTTATGGTTATAGTTGGTCATCCGATTGTTCTTATATTGAAAAAGATTGTACGATGGATGTACCCAAAGAAGATATTATCTGTTTAACAACAACAAATTGTACAATTAAAGTTGTTGAATATCCATTGATATTACAAGATTGTTGGAATTTAGTAGCTTCCTATGTACAAGCAGAATTTGAATGTATTGCAGGTAATTGATTAAAAAACATAATCAAAATGATCAAAAGTATAATTGTTTTCTGACTTAGAATATTCACTGCAAAATGTTTGTCAAGCACAAGATACAACATTATCATATGGTTTTATTTCTTCACCCACCTATCCACAAGGATTTCAATCAAATTTAAATTGTCCTTGTGCATTATTCGCTTCGCCTGGTCATGCAATTGTCTTAGAAGTAATTGATTTCCGTTTGCCATCATGTGCCGAAGCGGGCCTTATTCTTTGGATGGGAAGTGATTATCAAACAAAATGTTTAACACAAGATCCGTTAACAGTTGTTGGCAATGTTCAACAAAATGTAACGTTAAGATTTTATACTTTAAACAATATGAAACATGGGGGATTTTTAATTAAATATTCGGGTAAATATAAAAAATTGAACTAAGATTTTTTTGATTAATAATTAAAATGTCTTCTTTCTTTCAAAAACATACAGTTCTTCCCGTATCAAATAATGCCACTGTTCGTCTGCAATGTTACACTGCTCCATCCAACCAACAGCAAAAAATGACTATACCACCGCCAACAGTCATACCCCCATTTCCATTTGGAGCAAAAACTGATGATGATTCAATTGAACAAGATGCAATGAATATCATAATAGATGATTTAAATTCAAATGGAAACTCTTATAAACCAGCAACTCATCCAACAGATTTAAGCAAACGATTTACTATTAGTAATGATCCACCACCAATTTTGGGAACATTGCAAGAACATAGAGTATGTTGAGTTATTAAAACTTGCTTCTAACAGCAACATAATAGGGCTCAAAATCTGATTTCTAAACGTCATCTTCTACTCATAGTTCTAAAAGTTTTTATTTAATGATGCATAGAAAGTAAGGTGCGCACAATGCAAAAAAAATTGTGTTGCTTGTCGTGCCTTAACTCTGTCTTTCTCGAAGGAAATCACCTGACAAGACCCTTGAGAAAGGTCGAAACCGGTCGTGGTATCTTCTTTTGATTCTTTCAGAAATGAATTCTGTCTGAGTCTCTAGTAACTACAAAGCGGTTGTAAAATTAACTAAACATAATGATTCAAGTCCAGTTTCACAACGATATAAGATTATTTTGAGGTCTTCAAAAACATTTTTCGGATTTAGCGTTAAAAACTGAATAGAAAAATAGTATTTGATCAATTTCGAAGTTAAAAGCTTGTCAAGCATGGACGTCCCAAACCAACCCTCTAAAGTGCGGGCATGCAATTTTATAAACCTATCTAATTTTTTGTATTAATGGCTGAAGCCGTCCTTTGCACATCGTTAGATTTGCTGAAAGCTCAACTTTAAAAGTACACTTTACTTTTTTTTAAATTTTGTTTTGTTGCTGAGAAAAGTCATTTTTTCTACATCAGAAGAGAAAAAGTCGGAATTCTGCTCGTAATTCTCAGTTTTCTCTATTAGAACTCAACTTTTATGCGATAAAAATATCATATTCGGAATCAAGATCAAAAACTAAGTCAACTAATATGTACTTTGAAATTTTTAGTTGATTTTTAGTTTTGGATGAAAATCTTAGTAATTTTTGGACAAAAAATTGACCATCAATATTTGACTATCTTATAAGAGAACACGGAAGTATTCTTAAAAAATTGAATGGTCTTAAAGTGAACTGTTGATAAATATTTGACTAACAACTGTATGCAATTACTTTTCTTTCATAGGAACAAGTATCATTATCTGGTATTAAACCAAATCTAAATCAAACTGCTTATAAAAAATGTATGTAAATTTCATTCTACTGGTTATTTAAAAAAAAGCAGAATACGAAACAATTTATTGTTCTAGATTTACTTCCCAACAATGTTCGACGTTCAAATATAACATTGATCGTTATTTGTGCCGTAGCTGCCGTTATATTTTTATTGATTATGATTAATGCTCTTATTTGGTTTATATTTTCTTTACGGTAAGTATTATCACAATAAAACAATTGATTTCTAAAAATATTTTCCAAACATCTGATAAATAATCATCCCATCGTCAGAATTAGTATGTTCAAATTGATTGAATATAGTAAATTTCCCTTCTCCCCTTTGGATATAAAATCCTGTTTAACCTGTCTAGCCCTCAATGCAAATCAACCATGTCGTTTCAACATCTAGCCTATCCGGGCGGTGATCTTTCACATCATCATCAACGTGGTACAAAAGAATTGAGTATTACTGATTCAACAACAGCTGTTTTAAATCCAAATCGTTTACATGACTATCCTGATGATGCATCATCGTTATCACGTTTAAATTTAACAAATTATTTACGAAAACATAATTTTCCACCACCTCAACCATCTGTCAATGCTCCACCCTATCGTCCAATGTTTACTTCTCAAAATAAAAATGACAGTTCACCCGATCTTCATAGTGAATCAGAATTAACAGAATTTGGTGGTGGTATTTCACCACCACGTCGTTTAAATAAAAAATCTGGTATAACATCGAATCGTTTAAAAGCTATTCGATCACTCGTACTTCGTGGACATAAAACATTACCAAATGATAATACAAGTCGATTAGATTCAACAATATCTGATTATCATCTAAGATCTGTTTCACAAGTACCAGGTGACTCAGTTGTCAAACCCAATTATGAAGAACAAGAAGATTGCGTTGAATTAAGATCAGAATCTTCACATTTGTCTAATATAAGAAATAATAATCGACTAAAAGCAGCAAAAAAAAAAGAATCACCAAGACAAATAAACTCATGGGACGATATTTAATTTCATCGTATTTTAGATATTCAAAAAATATGTTTATTTTTGAATTGTATTTAATGTTGTATAGTTTTTTCTTTTTTTCTTTTACGTGTTGTTATTAAAAAATTGAAGAGAAAAAATTTGATATACAAACTATATCTAAAATTAATACTATTCCTTGTGCAACGCACGCACAATGGATAAGATTTTGACTGCAATAATGTCTACCGTTAGAGACAACGTTGTATTAAATGACATTTTTGGATCGGGTTGAAAACGAATATAACTGGGCTGAAAAAGCGTGGATATTAAAGTAAAATTTAAATTTTTATAAGATAATGTATTCGTAACAGTTGGTTCACGTATCATTTCTAACGAGGGAAGTACCCTAACTGATAAATCGCTTTTTGCACCAAACCTACCTAGCGTGTTGTAGGTTATCGACCACGCTGATTCCGAATATTCATATGAGACGGGCTGCTAGGCCTTCCTGGAGTGGTTTTCTGTAAAACCAGTTTTCCAAAAACTCCAAAAAATCTCTGAAACTTTCTCTCAATAGGTTATGAGTGTAGCCCACGAACTTCTGATCAAAATGAGACATCCCCAGCTCCACACGACCTTTCTTTGCAAAGTTATAGAATTTTCAAGAAAAAAAAGTCGCAGATGTTTTTTATGTCATTTTTTGGACGGTTACAATAACCTTGATCACAACATGACAAACTTTGATAGAGAGATGATGCCTGACTTAACTCACTACATAATGTTTGAGTGCCAATAGCATGCGCCCATTTCTGATTACGTGGATTTTTTGGATAAAAGTATATGCCACTGTACTTTGTTACCGAACCCGGGCGTTTGCTCTTACGCCAGATCCATCCAGCACCAAATCTCAGTAACCACAAGAAATCAACCCAAACCCAATACACCGTTAGATCCGTCGTTCAGAGCTGTACAAAACCTGGTATATGAATCATGGGTTCAAGAAACTTTAGCAGACTCTTTTACCGGAAACTGACTACGCTCAGAACCACAGAATATGGATAGTGCCGAGATTACTTTTCTTTTCTCCACACTTACTTTCATGGCGTTCCATTGAATCAGTTCTAGTTTTTGGTAAGTGGCCTTCAGTGTGCCAATTGTACGGGTATTGTGCTGCCATTGAACAATCCCATAGACTTTAAGAAACCTTCGAGGGATTTTTCGGAGTTTAAAGTTCTAGTAAGCACCAGAAATCAGTAAATGAGAAATTCAAAAATGGGGCTCTGTCAACTCCAAGCCATAGGTGTATACTGCAAAATAAAACGAACCCAAGTAAATCGTACTCGTGTTACAAATGTTTTCAGTACGAGGGTACAAGAGAAAGCATATATTTGATACACGTTGCGTAATTCAGACTTTGCTCGTTCAGTCAAAACATAGTTAACTCTCCAGAATATTTGGAACATAGAGTGACATTTACTGCAAAAGTTATACACACTGTGTTGAGATACATTTAACCATTCTGATTCACGTAAAGATATCTTCCCTACAACTAATACCAGCTGTAGCTCTGGACAGAAGGCCAGCCTGACTCACCCTGGCCGACTGTCACGCTGAATTGGCGACGCGAACGCGCTACGCGATCGCCATAATTCTCGCGAAAACAGTCGCGATTTTCGCGATCGCTATGAAGTGGCTATCATTGATTGATTCTTTTCATCCGCTATTTTCGCGTCACGATCATGCAGAAATCGCGGTGTCATAACGCGATCATATTGGAGTCGCTATACTCAGTTATTGTTTGTTCGTCGCTTTATTTCACGTTTGATCCAGTTATAACAACAAAAGGATTCACAATGTGTACTTTTATGTTATGCTTCGCTTTAGTTTAGTAGTTTTGCTCTTAGGTAACGGAAAATGGCATTAATTCGTATAGTGCTAAAAAGGTAGCTGTTGAAGAACTTTTTACTAGATCTAAGCGGTCGTGCTGAACTGAAAACATAATGTTTGCAGCATAACAACGCCACCCTGGAGTTAGGCTGAAAATGTATAGACAAGATCATTCCTCTCGAAATCAAGTTTATCAGAAAACAAGAAATTTCAGTGATATGTTAACATCTACGCCTTATTTCAACTAACAGTGCAGAAAAAAATCTTGTACATTAAAACACGAATACCAGACAGCATTTGACTCTAGCATGTTCAGCCAGTTAACAGGTTAAAGTAGCGTGCATACAGTTTTGTAACACTCAGCAGCGTACTTGGAAGCAAGTGGAATTGACCATCATTGTGAGTACATTGAAATGGCGGTCGTTTTAAAACCAATTTAGCTAGTCTGTGATGCCATCTAACAGGTGCAAATACACTATGTGTCAGATTATGACTAATGACATTGCCATAGCATGATGCAACGATATCATTGACAATTATTCTTCCTAGAAAAGCGCATAAAAGAGTTAAGACTTAAACAGAAGAATTACTGCGTTTAAAGCTACCTGATATTGTGAGAGGAGCATAAAATCCTCTCTTGATTTCAGCCGTAACATTGTTCACTGATCAACCCGAGTTTTTTGTACACTGAATGATTTGGTAGTACATCGCGAGCTGCAATGTATTTCTTTACATTATTCCTGCTAACTAGAATCAAATGAGACCCAGTTAAACTCAGTTTGTGACCGTCTTCAGTTTCAACCACATAAAATAAAGTTAAAATAGCAGTAGAGAGTGTAAATCGTTTGCGAATGAAATCTGAATAAACTTACCAGAGTTCTGTGCATCATCATACAGAATCATCCTAACTTCACTATACTCGATTTTATCAGTTGAAATTTACTATTAGATATTAACAATATGCAACAAGTAGCTAAATTATGCTTGGATAATACAAGAAAAAAAGTGAAATAAAAACGTCTTCAGTAGCTCATCGTGTTATTATTCAACGAGGTCACCTTTGACTTCAACACATTCATT